AGTATAAGACACGCCATAGGTCTTGAGTTGAGCGGTTACGTGAGAGGATGCACAAGTGTTACGCTCAGTGTCACTTAGGGCTTCATCCATTTCCTCCCTCGCATAATAACGTTTTCAAAGTTAAAACCCTCTCCATATTAGGTGACTTTCCCTTAGCGTCCTGGAAATCTACGCACACACGACTTGTAGGACTTCTTTTTCAGAGGAAATCTCGACGAGACATTCCGTTCGTTGTGTATCTAACCATCCTCAGATCATGCCCCTTCACTATGATAAGCAGCTCTCACTGAGTAGAACCGGGTCAAGCAGTAATGTGGGCACAACGCGGGCCTTTGTTACGACAACAAGACTCTCGGTCAGAATATCATCTGAAGAATGCAGTCTTCTGGGATTTGGCACCGTGTATATGTGGTGTTAACCGACGTTTCGGAGGAACGTATCGCCCCCATCTTCAGGGTTGAAGAAAAAGTATAAGTAAATCTGCAAGCGACAACACCGTGAGACACGATTCGCTTGCAGATTTACTTATACTTTTTCTTCAACCCTGAAGATGGGGGCGATACGTTCCTCCGAAACGTCGGTTAACACCACATATACACGGTGCCAAATCCCAGAAGACTGCATTCTTCATAGTCACCGCCGTGAAAGCCTCAAATCTTACACAGAATATCATCTGTTCTAGAGACCGAAGCTCCGTAGAACGCTCCCCGGCTACTGTATCGAATCTGGCCGGAAAAGTCATGCTGCAAGTCCCATTAAAGTGATGCCCCCTATGTTTGGACCTAACTGTACTGGAGTCATTAAAATATGAACACATACCACCGGTGTGCAACCGATAGATACCCACCTACAGGGACTTTGGTCGAAAGGTGCCGTTCGGACCAATCAATACTTGGAAGTACCTTGCGTGATAAAATGACACGATATGCGTCAAGCCAGGCTCTGACCGAATTTAAGAAGTACTAATAATTCAGCATCATCAATTGAAAAGATGTTTCAAATACCATTTGCACATTTACTGCATACTTTCGTGTCTTAAACACTGCTGAAAACACTAAAAAAACTGGCCTCAAATCAAACCGGTTACAATAATTACGCATAGTGTAATTATTCTGACTGGACTTCTTACGTTTGTTTAATTATCTACAAAACCGTAAGGCTTATTTCCACGAGCTTCAATGGAAATCTGCAGACACACACACTGAATTAGAGATGGTAAATTTTAAATTGTAAAAGTATTCCGTCTGTAATGCGATAAAGTCATAGTGAATTCACTAAAAAGCTTTTGTTAAATATTTTAAAATGTCACTGACTATGTATATTTTATGTCACTGCTACGTGTTTCGGGCGCATATGCACCATCATCGGGCAACATTCATTGTCTGGGGAGACCACTGCACTGTACACTTTGTCCAAGTTACTTGTAGGTTGGTAACCCCTCATAAATTCGTTTATTCCTCTATACAGAATCAGAGAGACCTAGAGATTTTCCTTCATGATGTTAAAATTCAGCACACTGCAAACTATTTCAGATTAAAGCTCATACATAACGTCTTTCTCAAAATTGCTCAGTCACAACAGTGCTTATGACTAGGATCAATAAAATGACTTCTATCAACAGAAAAAGCGAGCAGCGTTAAATATAGTTGGAAGGTACGAGTACATTACGAAACCGAAAGGTCAGTTAACAGTCTGTGATCGGCTGCGCCATAGCTCAAGCGGTTAGTCGCTGGCTTCCCACTGCGGCGACCCGAGTTCGATCCCGGGTCTGGTCAAGTGGGATTTGTGGTGGACAAAGTGGCGCTGGGGCAGGTTTTCTCCGAGTACTTCGGTTTCCCCTGCCAATCTTTATTCCACCAATTGCTCCACAATCACCCTCACCTATCATCTGGGGCTGGTACAATAGGCCAGAAATGGCCGCAGTACAAGGGACTTAGTCCCACCCCACTAGCAATAAAAAATACAGTCTGTGATCAAAATAATCTGAACTGTATGAAATAGGTCATGACAGCTGAACAAGAAACATTAAATCGACAATGCAGAGGCCCTGGAGGGCTGAGTCCACGCTTCTATAGGAGGCCACATCAGAATACGGCATAATTATCAAAAGGAAAGCTGTGTCGTATTGAGCAGAGTCAATATAACAAAGTTCAGTCAATGAAATACTTATGGTCCGTACGTTTAATATACAGGATTAAGACGCTCTTTTGTTAGTCATGAAAACTTCCTCGTCAGTATGTTTTTGGCGCGTTCTCAACGAAAAGTGGCAAAAATGAGCCCACTGGCTTCGTCATGTGTCTGCATGTGCGTCTCTAGAACTGCTGAACGTATTACTAACCTCTGTCACACACTCCAGTTTCGGTTCAAATCAAGCAAAAGTAACATACACTCTACGATAAATCCCACATGCGTTTCTATGCTCATCTCGACAGTAACTCGTTAAATATTTATCAAAGAAACACGTTTGGGACAGTGGCTATACAGAACGATGCACATACTTTCCTCCAAATACAGTTTTTCCGCAAGTCTAGTGGTTTTCGAAGTAATTAAACACTCTATGTGTACATGTCATAATTCGTGGTCAGTCCTGTGGTATTTGGGAGAGATCTCTGAAAGCATCATTTCAAAGGCACATTTATATCGTCTTCCTTACACTGGCCATCGTAATAGTATCTGGTAACGAATCACGAAGTTCCGCATTATATAACTCTCTTACGTCACCTATTACCTCTTCTCTCGTAGCTCCGAATATTCATTTCAGTACCCTGTTCTCTCAGATCCTCCTCTAAATCAGAGACCGAGTTTCATACCCATGTTAAACGAGAAATAAAAATACGGTTTAGTTTACTTCCATCTTTAAATGTCTAATTACTACATCTAAAGACAAAATTTCTGAGCCGAATTCCAGTAAACATTTTAGAAATTTCACCCTTTCAAGATTTATACAAATTCAGTCCTTACCTCACAGAAAACATGCAACGTCTCTAATACAAATACTAAGAGGTTAATGCTTTTTACAAACCTATCGTTCACTGACAGAACTATAACAAACTCTCAGACACTGTGTGGGAAAAAAATTAGATTTTCTGTCGTTCCCAGTAGCCACGTTTCAAACGACAAAGTTTCAGGGTATTGTACTGGAAGGAAACATATAGCGAAGAATGTCAGCCAGTTTGTTTTCAGTAAATCACGAAACGCCCGAGTTAAACATGAAATTGACCGCAGGATTCGTTAAGAGCAAATTAGCACGGTGTTCAGAGCTAGACGTGAGCACTGCCCACGCTGAAATGCCTTAGTCCGTTTTACCTTCATGAAACGCAACAGAGAAAACACAACTACATTTTAACGGTCAAAATCATAGGAGAGACTTAAAAATGACGTGACATATTCGTTCATAGCATATAAACAAGCAGGTTTATTTTTGCATAGAGATATGATGTCTGGACTACTAAAGGGAAACAACTGGATTTTGGGAAGGATTCGAATCCACGATTATCACCAATACAGTACGGCAACCAGGACTGACCCAGTTCATGGGTTCGCGTGAGGTCATTAGTTGGAAATAAACACGGTTCAGCTCCATTGACCGGAGGGATGTCAATCCGAAGGCAGAGAGAAACGGCGTACTCCAGTGGAGTACCTGCATTACACAAACGCGTTCTTTGCAAATTCGAATACCTCACTGGCTTTCATGTTCGCCTACCGCAGAAAAAAATTCACTATTACAAAGATAATTACACTCCACAGAATCGTATTGTATTTTCGCATATCGAAAAAGTTTCACATAAAAGTTCTAGATCTTAATGAATCACTGAACTTTTGCAATTAGCTTTGTATACATTTCTAGATCATCTACATCAGGAGTTATAACGGAGAGAAGCTCGCAAGTGCAATCCGCCAAATAACACATATGCAACTACGAACCAAAAGAAGCCTAGCACGTTGTTACCATCGATGTATGTGTCCGACATCCACTCAGCGCTGCACCAGAGTTCGGAACTTGTTGCCTGGCTCACCACAAGTAGCTAGCATGTTGCAACATTGCTACCATCCTCAGAACTGAATCCATCTCAATTATCCTTCCATCTCCTCCATATGTAACATCTTAAGCTGCGCGCTTACCTCACCGTCTTAGATCATGCGTCTTTCTGACGGCTGGTTAAAAATGTAGTCTGCAGCCTGTGTTTCTCATGAGGACTATATAGAAAGCAGTCAGAAGTTCCCCAGTCATCTCAGTATCTTAATTCTTCTCGTTTTGCACGCCCTTCCCTGGGCCCGTTTATCGTTTCATGTACTATAAACAAGCGGCACATGTTCGCTTAGCAACCTGACCAGAGACGGAGGAAGAAAGCCTAAGAGACGAACTGATTTTACACTTGTGAATTCTGGTTTTCCCAGCGACTGCTGTCTTCCGGGATCTGATGACGTGCAGTCTGGTAGATGGTTATCAATTTTCCGAGTGGAACCCCTTGCTTCCATCCTGAGGTAAAATGACTGAGGAAGCACGTTCTTCCGATACGCTGGTAACCAACTAATCACTATCGTATCGCAGGAGACCTCAATCTTAATAAGCATTTCATGTTACAGATAAAATGTACCCAACCTTATCTGACACTTAGGGCGAGGGCACATCAAGGAAACCGGCAACCGCAACACAACCGCAATTTCCGACAACTATTATCAGCCTGATTTGAACACATGCTACTGAATGGAGGAGCGCAAACCGAGGGAACTGCATTGCCGTGTCCTCAGTTTGCGCTGCTCCATCCAGTAACATGTATTCAAATCAGGCTGATAACAAGTCTCGGAAATGCGTTGCGGTTGCCAGTTTCCTTGGTGTGCCCTCGCCATTCTCGTTTGTTGTACAGATGCCCCACCAGTTGCGACCTCCGCGGCTGAGAAAGGTTTTGACTCAAGGATAACCAACCTACAATAACATCCCTTCCAGACGCTCTTGCCGCCCTTCTTTACTGTTTGCTATTCACCTTCAGACTGCTTACCTGTTATCATCTTTGGGGCTGGGTACGAACTTGATGCACTCTCGTTTCTGGAAGTTAGCTTCTATCCAGGACCGTGCGGCCTGCAACGAAACAGCAGCAACTGTCAGACACAAACGTGACTAAGACGTCCCCGTGCTCAATTTCACATTACATTCGTTACTGCCATGAAACAATATATTTCAAGTGACCGTCACGTTGTTATTCTATGCTGTACAAAAAGTGTCCTTAAAGTTTTGCGTACATTAGATTTTTTATCATATGAAAGATCAGGATGCCATGGCAGGGCGTTAATCTCGATCCAACGTTAGAAGTTCTCATGTCGGCAGGAAATAAAAACTGTGGAATAGCGCTTAACTACATAACATGAACACTAAGTTTCTTCAAAATTCGCCACTGGTACGCGTAAGGAGATACGGACATGGATATCGGGTACCTTTACTTTCCCTTGGGAAAAAAGGAAAGTAAAGACGAACTGCATTCACTGGATTTTCGAGCTTCTTCCAAATCACATCTCCACGACATCAGCAACATCACATCAACACTTGATTTTGTTACCTGACGGAGTGTTCGTAGATTTATTTCGCTTCCCACAATAGATATTTTCCTACAGAAATCTGACCTGGTAATGGCAATGGCAACTATATGTACCACGAAGTTCATGGAGGTAGGCCTAGGCCCACTGGGGCTGTAGTGCCAAGGGGAAAAAAAATGTACCACGAATACTTTCACCTACGAGTAAATCGCTTCATATTGCCCAGAAAGAACACGCCTATGTGTTTCTTAACCTATCCACAACCAGCAAAGAATTATCCCCATATTATTAACCCTTTAGTGGTATTCGTAACTATAAGCGTAGTCGGTGTAGGGCTACGGGCTAGATGGCTGCGGTTCGAGTCTCAGCAGGGGCAAGAGTTTTTCTCCTCCACAGCATTCAGATCGACTCCGGGGCCTACCCAGCCTACTACAAAATGGGCACCGGGGTCTTTCTCCCCGGCGATAAAGAGGCCGGGGTGAGAAGCTAGTGCAGTGGTCAAGAATGCTGGAGCTATACCTCCAATTCCCAATACGTCTTCACCAAGTGATGCTCAATTAATCACGCACAGTGAGAACGTTACCTTTACCTTGGTTTCTTGTACAACTTGATGACAAAATTCAAAACACGCACTTTTCAATTCATTCTGCCCTGTTTTCACTATGAGCCCTGCTGTAACGCCATAAAAGCGAATGGAATGCTCTACAAACCTTAGGAATAAGGCGGATTTTTGTTCTCCTATGTGATATAAGCATCTCTGGGAGCTGGGCCGTGGCCGTCCCTACTATCGATTGGTGTTCCCGCAACATTTTTGGGACCTCGCTGTGCTGCCTGTATTCCTTACCGTCGCCGCTGAACAATGTTCTACTTCTCTTCATTGTTCGCCATGACCAAATGTCACAATTTGGCCCCTGATAACATTAGTTCGTATTTTCAACACGCCATATTCGTGGCGTCGTTGCCGTTGCTGAAGCAGTCTACACAATGAATCACTTGCTCGTATTTCACCCAACAGTTTTACATAGCGACATTAGCTTCTGTGGCAAATATTTATTTTTCCGCTTTCTAAGCAACGAATACCTATAACGCAACAGGCTGATAGTGAAGTACGAGTCCTGGCTAATATTTACAACATGCTGCAACACAAGTACAACAATAGGATATCACAGAGCTGTATACACCTGTTCAAAAGACGTCTTCGTAAAATAAAGTAAATACATCCCCGAAGTTAAGAAACATGCCGTAAGGACGTGTGGAAGTAAAGCTCCACGCATTCGCAATCCCTGCACAAGACAGAAATTCATTATTAGTTTCATGCTCCGGGAGCTTTAGCCCCGAACCCAACTGATAGGAGGCTGGATGGACTCCGGAGGAGGTTTGGATGCGGTAGCGAAAAGAAAATTCCAGCCCAGGCTGTCCAACTGAAGGCTATGGTGTATGAAGAATCAACAAGAAGTTTAGGGAAGCACTAATCGTGTACTTGCCTTTGGTATGATAAGGATCGACCAGAAAATGAAAAAAGAAAATGGGAGAGATACATAGAGAGACAGCTAACAAGGTGATCACGCAAGCCTAAAAAATTAGGGGCGGGGGAATAAGTAGACAATAAGGTGATAGAAACCTATTTCATTATTTTAAGAAAAAGGAAAGTAAGCTAAAAACAAGTATTACATTTTTAACGACGGTGATTTGTTAGGATTCTGGTCTCCGGGGCTGTGCTAACGTGTAGTCTTGTGGACGGATATCACGACAACGTGCATAAATAAAGCGTACAGGCCAATGGAATACGCACGGTTATAGAGAATGGAATGGGTCATGAGACACAAGAGTAACTGGATAAAGAAAGGGGTCCGATCCGGGCAACTGGGAAGAAATAGACAAAAAAATGGCCGATGCGCGAAAATGATTCCCCAACAAAATTCTGTATACATCCACTGTATCCCCCTGCACTGCTTAGCACAGCGATCGGACTCCATTATTCCATCCCCGTTATGTAGAGCTGTTCTGAGCTGTTTGTTTTCAAATACTGAAATTTATGATCTTCCCTGAAAGTAAAAATGACCGCTTTTCGTCAATTAGTACTGTCACGTGTTAGTGACTAAACACGGGGTTTGCATTGGTAATTGGATTTATTGAGAACTTTTAAATCGTAACTACAACTGATTATGACGCTCTCGCTAATTCACGCACTCGACTTTTCACTATAGTGCATGCTAAGTCTTCTCAGTTTGTTATGTCTTCAGAGTCGTTGCCTAGTAACGGATCCCAACAATGTATCTGCTTCCGTAATCACATCCTTACTGGCTGGCGACTGTCTCACAATTAACTAACTTCAAAGTCGAAGTCACATTACGATTGGCGGTCGGTCGGCTAGACGGTCTTAGTGTCAAGCATGATCTGGGGCCCAACACCAGATTTTTGTTAGTCAGAGAGATGCGGTTTTGTTGATGCGGGGCATCCTCTCTGAGGAGATGACGAGTCTGTCAGTTACCATGGTCAAAATCAGTAGTACATGTCATCTATATCGTAGCGGATTGGCTCAAAAAGTTTCTAGGCAACGGCTCGGTAACCACGTTCCAACGTGCAACAATGGAAGTTGTGTCTCAGTGGACGTATAACTCGTTGCTAGGCAGCAGTCAGCGCGCTAATAAACTCTATGGGGATCAATCGACTTGTTTTCTGTGTGGTTCGTGCGAAGCCTATATAATGAAGACCTGTTGTAGCTTCAAAAATAAGACCGTAATTGTCAAACGGTACTAATTAATATCTGGTAATGAGCCCCAGATGGGGTTCGACACCAAGACTTACTGACTGACTGACCGTCAGTCGTAATATGACTTTGATTTTGACTTTAGCCAAAGAGTAAGACAGCAGTTAAGGCACATATAGGCACGCGAGTTCAGAGTGGGTGAGGAGCTACAACAGGTCTTGATTGGGTTGAGCAATGTGAACCAAACGTGGGTTGGAGAGAGTGGATTTTAAGGACTTCACTTTGCGTAGTGTGTTCATGGTCAACTCCCGTTTGGTGAAGGTGAAAACGGCGAAGTTTTCAGCCCGGCAGTCAGAGTGTGCAGCGCTGTGTGATAGAAAACAAACAAGCGGTAAACTTGAGTGTACATCAAAATGGCGGATATCACAGTACCTGGATTACGGAAATATTGAACACAGACGCTGACGTCGCTGAAAAAGTCCGGACGCGAAACTGCTTTCATGGCATGTACGCGATAACACTGATGGAATTAAAGGCCATGAGTACACAGGTAAAACAGCAAACAAAACCTCATTGGAATCCGGCCCAGGATGACGACTTCCGGGAAGTTACGAGAGGCAAGAGGCATAAATTCAATGATACCTCACAGTCAGCCAAGAAGTCGACTAAAACAGTCCCAACATCCGCAGCTGTCAAGCTGCCTCCAAAAGCAGCTTCAACTCGCAACTTCTTCGCACCTCTCAGAACTACTGACAAGGACATGAAGACTACTGGAGCAGAAGGCTCCAAGAAAATCAGGTAGGTCGCCAATAATAGTGATGATTTCTATCCCCAAACCTCATTCGATTACAAAGCGACTTAAAGAACATGCCAAAGGAGAGCACGACTTCAGAAACACACGAAACGGAACTCGTATTATAACAGAATTAATTGCGGAGAATTCAGCCATGAAAACCTACCTGGAGAAAAATAATCTCCACTATATTACCTTCCCCTCAAACTCCGCAAAGTAATCCGTCTCCATCCCCCAGACACGCCGGCGGAATATATTTCCAACAGCCTTGAGGATTTAGGCTTCAACGTCATTAACGTGAGATAAATGACGGCCAGTCGAAGAGCACCCTACGGGCATGCCTACGTGGAAACGCATCCTATATTTCCTGTTAGCTTAACGAGAAACGTAAAATCTCAAGAGATTTTCAAACTGAATAGCCTGAACCATATTATCATCAAGGTAGAGTTATACAGAGCTCAGACTGGCCTTACGCAGTCTACAACTGTCAAAGCTTCGGCCATGTCTGGGCCAACTGCAAGCAACCCCACAGATATTTGTCGCGCGGTGGTGGTCACCTGCATACGGAATGCCCTGTTGTAATTGCACCCTAGCAGGAGGAGAGAAACCTCATTCAGCGTCATACCGAGGCTGCAGCCATGAAAAAGGAGAGGAGCACAACGAGCTCCCAAGGATTCCCTGGGAGGACGTTCTCCTCTACGTTCACCTCACCAGAGCAGTCCTATGCAGCTGCACTGCGTCAATACACTCAACAATAGCAATCACAGGCACCGCAGATGGATGGGAAAATCGTGCAACACCCCTGTCAGCAGCATCTACAACAGGAAATTCAGAACAGGCTTGTCAGTATAGGCTCCCAGTTCGTCTGACAACAAGCTAAAGGTAGCCACTGTAGTGCGACAGATCATGAAAGAGCTCAGTGAAGCTGTACCAGAAGAGGACAAGGTAATGATCGTTACAATGATGGTACTTGACTTAATGCAACGGAATGGTTCCTATAGTTCATATGCAAATAGCTCTATGAGCTAGTAAACAGCCGCAAGACATACGTATAGATGTGACTGTTTTCAGAGAATTATCTCAAGCCACATGAGAGGTTGTATATTGTTGTATACAGCGCAAAATGAAGAATTTCTATAACATGCTATAAGGCCAAGCATATTCATAAGAGATAAACCCATCTTCTCGTCAGAGAGGATGTTATGTAAGGATTATTACCGCAAGTGTTCAGTTGAAAAAAATATCTGGCCGTAAGTCTCAAGGGGCTTGGCGATAAACCGCCAATCGTAAGGTAAATCTGATGACTCTGGCTCTTGACTTAGATTAGTGCAGTGTAATTAAGAGTTAGTTGCAAGAATGCGGCTGTGAAGAGAAGACTTTATGTGTAATATTTGGAGTGTGTAGTTCGGTGAGGTTGTTATAGTTCCAGTGTTCTAACTGCGTTACCAGAAGGCGACTAACGTGAGTGTAACAGTGAATCATAAAGTGCAGAAACAGCGATAGTGCTATAATTACGTGTACTTACAGGGTGGAGTGTATAAGGAGTAAATGAACCCGTTCATCCAACCCACGTCCGCGTTATTAGTCACCAATACGCGTGAAATTATTTACAGTTTTACATGTCGGCATTCTACACAGTTAGTTGTCAACAGTTCGGTTCCTTGTGGATACCTACTATTTCTTTATATTATTAGTGGGGTGGGACTAAGTCCCTTGTACTGCGGCCACTTCTGGCCTATTGTACCAGCCCCAGATGATAGGTGAAGGTGATTGTGGAGCAATTGGTGGAACGAAGATTGACAGGGGAAACCGAAATACTCGGAGAAAACCTGCCCCAGCGCCACTTTGTCCACCACAAATCCCACTTGACCAGACCCGGGATCGAACCCGGGCCGCCGCGGTGGGAGGCCAGCGACTAACCGCTTGAGCTATGGGGCGGCCCATACCTACTATTTAGTTTTACATGTAACTCTAGCATATATGCATGCACATATATACAAGGCCTCTTGTCAGTTTACGCTTGGCACAGCACCCTAATACATGTAGCTCATGTTAAAACGGCTACCTAGTCACTTGAACGGCCGTACGCTTGACCACCGCCAAGTTTAGGCCTTTTATATTTTCTATGTCAGGCTTCATGTTTTCCGATGTCGCCAACATTTGTATTTTCATGATTTTGTACGGAGACTGCTTACTTCCTGTACAATTTCGTTATGTAATCACATACAGGGTTTTTCACGACTTTAGGGCATAACTGCAGGAGGTGATTTCCTAGGTATTTGTGATCAAAAAAGTTCATATAAACATGTGTCAGATTTTGGACGGTTACGGAGTTATGACCGTTTTAAACTCAGAATAGAAGGTAACGATTACTGACAATAAACGGAACAAAATAATAAACCAGCGTAATTCATGATACATTTAAAGTATGACTGTAAAGTTAACTTCGTGAAATTACCTTTAATTTGAATTTATTGGTGCTTAAGGCTGATTTTCGAAAATGCCACCGCCGGCCGCAACACAGGCAAACGCTCGGTTGTGAACCGCGCCGGACAGACCAACCCACCCCGCCTTAGGTAGCTCTCAAGTGTCGAGATAACGAGAACGCTCTGTCTGTAGCTGGCTAAAAATAGCGACCTTCCAGCTGACAGACGCGGTTCACACGAGGGCGTGTACGGGAATGAAAAAACGTTCATAACGCCGTAAGCGTCCAAAATCGGACACATGTTTATTAGAACTTTTTTTGATCACAAAGACCTAGGAAAGCACCTCCTGCAGTTATGCCCTAAAGTCGTGAAACACCTGTATATACGGTACTCGGAAAACCATGTGCAACTCACAGACTAGTATGCACCTTGAAATTTTACCAGCAGTACGGAGAACCTTGTCTTATAATAAAGCGCCCCCATTTTCAATAAAGGGCATCTGGCGCAAATTCCCAGGCGGGGCAAGCATAAGTCATTACCGATCTAATTGCTACTTTATGGACAGCTAGTTTAATGTTAGCGCTCAATCGTCCTCTTTTGAATAGGCAATTTGTCTGTCCGTCCATCCATCCACTTATTCCAGTTTCTCCCATTTGGAGCATAGGGCATCAGTGAAACGCTTCGTTTCATTTCAGTTTATTAATCTTAAACGGCAGGTAGGACTCTTCGGACGGGGGATCAACCCGACGAAAAGTCGCTGTCTACACAGGGCCACACAAACAAAGATTAAACGCAGACAGATATCCATGCCCTTAGTGGAATTCAAACTGACAATCCAAATGTTCGAACGGGCGAAGACATATTGCGCAATCACTGTGATCGGCTGAATAGGGGGTTTCTTTCAGAGCGAAAAGAGCTAATAAGCTTAATTAGACTGAACGAAAATTTTAACTCCGATAATTTATGTAGCAATCCAAGGTGCCATGCCTTACCAAATGTTCTTTTCAATATCAAGAATACAGCAGCAGTAGACATGTTATTGCTGAAAATTAAGGATACGTGGTCCGTAAGCCTCATACTGAAGCGTCGTGCTGTGACGGGCACTGAAACCAAACAGGCTTGCATTGATCAGTTTTCTTTATTCAATGTGCTTTTGGACTATTTTTCAGAATAACTTTCTCGAACAGCATGTCTGTTGTAGACAAGAAGCTAATCAGACGTAAATTTTAAGGAAATTTGGGGTTCTCACCAGATTTCAGTAACGTTATAACTTTTGCTCACTTCCAAGGCTTAGGAAAATGGGACAACCGAAGGCAGTGGTTAAATAAATGTGTCAACTGTACCAGTGGTCTTCTTCGAAAATACCTAAGGCATTCGTTTGGAATACCATCAAATCCACAAGCCTTTCTCAATTTCAACGAATCTACTAATTTATGTATTTCACAAGTCATACTTTTCCCAACGGAGTGTCGTCTACAGATGCGAGCAGAGCTTGGACTCAAGTCTCTACCTGTCGCTCATGGCTTTTGTCACACAGGTCATGAGATGTGTACTGGTTTTCTAAATAATCTGCAATCGTATTGGCTTTCTCTTTCAGTTGATATACATATGTTATTCTTACAGGGCCATGAACATCGGTTGGTGCCTTTGGTCCATCCATTTCCATAAGCGATATCGCGATAGGCCACAGAACTTGAGGGATTGTTTCCCAACGTCCGAGAGCCTCTCTATGGGTCATTCGTCTGCTTGTTTTGGCCACCCATCTAATTGCCGTTTTACATGCTGAATTCTGGGTTACTTGCAACAGCTCTCTTAACCTCCACTTATGCGTTAGCAGCCTCTCCAGACCAAGTACATCATTATTAAGGTCCGAGTGGAGCATTATGTCTCGTTCGTGCTCCCTATATAACCTCGGCACGGACCGCACAGGAAACAACGTCTCCAATAGTGCTTCTGATGTTGCGCGTTTATTCAATCCCTAGCAACGACTTCTTGTTTGATGACGTCGCAGCGTGTTCAATGTGCCATCGCCTTGCAACAACTGTCTCTTCTAGCTTCTATGTCACAGTACTTTCGTTGCTTTACATAGATCTATTTCTTACTTAATCTTTATTACGTCTCAGAGTTGACGGCATGAAAATCTCTTGAGTAGAATAAATCCTACTTCATGTCGTTCCAACAGGCTTCCACAACTGGCAGTCTGCTGCCCTTTCATTCATGCTGATGTCAGTAGCAGCGGTGCAGTGGGTGATGCAGTTCACGGCTGTCAAAATCTTCCCGTTCGTTGAAGTTACTACTAGAAGCAGCAACAAGTAGAGAATTCGTTCTCGTCAGCAGCAGGCTGCCGATTTGTTCCTGTACTTTCAAATTACTGTCAACAGTAGAGCAGCGGTTATTGCCGTTTGGGGTTGCCAATTTGTTCATGTTCGTTGAAAATCTTGGGGGGAGCAGCAACAGGCTATCGATTTGTTCCCGTCCGTTCTAGTTTTTTTTATTGCTAGTGGGGTGGGACTAAGTCCCTTGTACTGCGACCACTTCTGGCCTATTGTACCAGCCCCAGATGATAGGTGAGGGTGATT